CCCAACCCCAACCCCAACCCCAACCCCAACCCCAACCCCAACCCCAACCCCAACCCCAACCCCAACCCCAACCCCAACCCCAACTGCACATAAACTTATATATTGCATTATATTTTTTTTAAACTTAATTTTTTCTAATTAATTTAAAAAATAATTTACTTTAAATTTTTATTAATTAATTTTTTATATATTTATATATTTAATATATTTTTATTAATAAATTTTTTATTTATATTTATATAATGAAATAGTAATTAATTATATAATTATATATAAAATTATTATTAATTATTTAATAATTTATTTAATTTTGATAAATAAAATTTATATTATTTATTTTTATAAAATTTTTACATTTAATCATATCTATTTTTTTTAATATAAATAAAAGAATATATTTTAATTTTATTATATTGTATTTATGAATTTTTGTTTATATATTTATTATATTTTTGATTATTATTTATTTAATTTATATTTTTATAAATTATATTTGGAATTTTTAACACTTTTATATTATCATATTTATTATTCTAGTAAAATTTATAATTAACTATTTAAGCTGTATGATAAATCTAAATATGTATAAAAATAACAATAATAATAAGTTGAGAAAAAAAAAAAACCTATTTTTAGATTTGTTATTAAAATTTTTTTGCAAGATATTTATAATAGTTTAAAAAAAAATATAGTTATAAAAAACATTACAAATTTTAAATACATGTTTAATTCTTTTCAAATTTAACTGCGTTTACTTTAATAAAATTTCTATCATTCTTAATTTCTGATATATTTTTGTAAAAGAATTTTTATATAATATTATTTTACTTGTTTAAATTAATTTTATAATTATAAAAATGCATTAAAAAATTAATTTCGTTTGACAAATAACATAATTTTTTACAAAAATTAATTTTACAATAAAATATTATAAAAAAAAAATATATATGTATTAAAAATATTTAATTAATAAGTTTTTATGGTTTGTTAAATTTTCTATATATACATATATATATATATATATATATATATATATATATATATATTCAAATTTTTTTAATAATATTATTAGCTAATTTTATTATTTTTAAAAAAATTAAATCTAAAAAAATAAATGAAAAAAACTAAAATTTAAAAAAGCTAAATTACTCAAAATTCATTTGAAAATTATAGTATAGGTTCCTCATCATCTTAAAAAAGTTTTATAATTGATGATATACTAAAAAGTGTTGAAATAATATAATCATCACACAAAAAAAGTTATGTTTAAGATGAGTAAATACTATAATAACCTTAAAAATGTATTAAAATATTTTTTTCTTTAATATAATTAATTTAATTTCAAATTAAAAAGAAAAAGATAATCAAATAAATGAAATTAAAAATGAAAGTTTAATGAATAGTTTATTTTAAAATTTAATTTAGGAAGTATTAAATGAGTTTTAAGAAGAAATACTTTAACCATTTTTAAGACTGATTTAATTTAAGAAATATCAAATGTAAGAAAATTTTTAGAAACTTGAATTATTAGAAAAATAATTTTAACATTAAAAGAAAAAATATTTGCAATTTATTGATTTAGATAAAGAAAGTCAAATTTTCGAACATATAAATTAACTTAAATAATAAATAGTACAATTAATAAACGAAAACAATGAAAATAATTTGTTATACGATTAATTTTTAATAGAAAATAAATTAATTAACAACCAATATTTTGAATAAATTGCATTAAAAATAGACGAAGCGAACTTAGAACTTAGAAATTATGTTTAAAATAAAATCAAAAAGTAGAATTTTGAAAATGGTTAATCTTAGTGCGACGGCATAAAAACACAAAAAATAAATGACAGTAATAAAATATCAATAATAAATGATATAGAATATATATAGTAAACTTAAAGAAAAGAAAAATAAGAAAACCTTAGTTTATCTTAATAGTTATAATAATTTTAGTTTTTTAAAAATAATTAAAGATATGAACGCAGCTATTCTTTACAATCAAAATATTCTGAAAATTCGATTTAACATTAAATTTCTGAATAATCATAATAATCTATAAAAATATTGGACTAATTTTAGCAAAACAAACAAAGAAGTGAAACGAATACAAAAAAAAAAAAAATTGGAAAAAAAATAATTATAAATGATATATTTTAAAAATAAAATATGAGTTTAGAATAAAAATAAATATAATAAATAAAAAATAATTTAAATGATAATTTTTTAACACAAAAAAAAAAAAATTAACTATTTAGCAAATGTTTATAATAAGAAAAAACATAAAATAATGTAATAAATTTTAGCACATTTAAATTATAAAGAATGAAAAACAATAATATAAACTGAGTTAAAATTTAATATAAAAGTTCAATAATTTTAAAAAAAATTAAATATTTTTATTTTACTGTTTAATTTTGTTTTTATAAAATCTTTTCTTTAATTTTTTTTTATTTTAAATTTAATTATTAAAATGCTTTTGTTTCGTCTGAAGATTAATTTAATATTATCAATTTATATATAAAGTTTAACTATTTAAATTAATTTTTAAATTATTTATAGTAATATAGTCATTATAAGTATTTATAAAAAAAAATTATTAAGTATTAATAAATTAATAAAATCAGTAGTTTTAAAATTACATATAAATAAAATAAATATATTTTGTTTTATTTTTTTGCTAAAAATTTAATATTAATTTTATAAAATATTAAAAATAAGTTAAGGTTCAATTAGTTTTAAAGGAGATATTTTTGAATTTTGTATAATAATTCTAAAATTAATTTTAAATAGATTTAATTAATTTTTTTTTTATAAAGTGTTAAAAAACTTATATCTTTAGCTTATTTTTTATTAAAATAATTATTTTTCTCCTAATTTGAATTTAAATAAAATAAATATTAATATTATTTATACTCCTTTTCTAAGTTTTAATTAAAAAATTACTAAATATTAACTTATTTTATAAATTAACTTGAGAAAAAAAATTATAAATTCATTATAAAAATTAAAAAAATAAGATAAATAATAATAAAAAAAATTATAATTTATTATAATAGAATTTTATTTTAAATAAAATAAAAATCATATCAAATTTTAAAAACAAAAAAAGAAATAAATAAAATTTAAAATATATTTAAAATAATTTATAATAAAATTATAATATTTTTAATTTTGTTGCTTTATATTTTATATAAAATTAGAACATTTTGAATTTTAAAAATAATTAATTAATAAAATATAAATATATAAAGCAATTAATAAAAATTACAATAATAAGTAGTAGATATAATTAATGCATTTTTATAATTTAATAAAAAAAAATGTTTTCTTAAATTATTAAACTTATTTTTTATGAAAATTATAGATTGTATTAAAGAATATTAAATAAAAATAATTACTTTTATATTTATAATATAATCATAATAGTAAAATTTCATAAAATATTATCGATGAATAAACGCTTTTTTTATAAGTTATAAATTGAAAAATATAATAATCCTAAATATTATATATATAAATAATAATGCATTTTGAAATATCAAAACATCAAAGCCAAACCGAAGATAACTGCCAAAAGTTATTTAGTGTTTTAGATAAAGATAAAGACGGATAAATTTGTGTTTAAGATATAAAAGCCTTTATTACAAAAATAAATATAGATAGCTTAAACAGTCTCAATGAATTGAATACATTATCAACATTAAAACATTAAAATAGTTCCAAATCGCATTAATCGAATTTTAGCAATTGTACATAATCAGAATAAAATATTTAAATTACACAATAATTTTTTAATATACCAAAATCTTTACAAAACATTAATGAAGAAATTATTAATGAGAATTTTAGTTGTAATATAAAGGAATAAATTTTATAATCAATAGAAGATATTAATATTAAATAAGAGGACTTTTAATAAAATTTAAAATAATAATATGAAAGTAAAGATGATTAATATTTACATTATTCCTATATGTTTCATTTGCTAAATAATCATTTTGATGGACTGAATAAATATGATATAATGGCTTTTTTAAGTAATTTGGGTGAGGATATAGAAGAATAGGAATTAGAAGAAATTATTTAATATTATGATAAAGATAATAACGGAAGGTTAAATTATTAAGAATTCATGTAAATGATTTGTCATGAGAATATGTAAACTAATTAAGATAATGATATATGATAAAAATATATTATAAAAAAAAAAATTAAAATTAAAAAAATTTAAAAGTAAAAAAAACCATAAACTTGAAAAATATTAGTATGCTAAAAATGAATAAACTTTTACTTATCATTTTTATTTATTTACATTTATAATTTATTTATTTTCACTTTTTCATTTTCTGATAATCTTAAAATTATTAAAATTAAATTTGAGAAATTCAAAAATTAAGAAGTATTATTTATTATATTTTTTTTAAATTAGAATTAAGTTGTTTTTTAATTAAATAAATTTATTTTATATATTAATTCACTTTATATTACATGTATGTACATATAAATAAATATTTTTTTTTAATAATATTATATTTTAAATATATTTTTTATAATATAATTTATTTATATATATTTTATTTAAAAATAAAATAAATTATATCTTTATTAACTAACACCAACAGAATTTTGTAATTCTTTTTATTCCAAATAAAAAATATTTAGGTGTAATTTTTGTTTCATTTATTAATAAGTTTAATAACTATTTATCTTGTTAAAATATCATTTTATAGAAGGTTAAAAAAGTCATAAAACTATTAGACTATTATAGTTACTTTTATAAAAATCAAACATCGTTTTCATATTATTATTATTAAATTATCCATTACAAGCATAAATATGAGTCAGCTATAAATGATCAATATAATTTTAAGGTTAAAATATTCTTTTATTTTCTGAAAAATTGTATTTTTTGAAAAAAAATCTAGATATATTTATTAAACTTAATAAGGATTATATTTTTACAATTTATTATTATTATCCTTTACAAAAGAAAAAAAATGATTCAATATTTTTTTAATCATTTTATATATTTACACATTCAATGCAAACATATTAATTATATAGAAAAGTTTATTATATTTTGCAAAATTGGAAATTACTTCCAAATTAAAAACTAATTGTTTCGTCATTTATTTGTAAATTTAAATTTTTTATAATTGAATTTTCATATATTTTATTTAAAAGAGTTTTTTTATATTAACTAAATAAATATCATTTTTAATATAAGAAAATAAATAAAAACATTTAATACTATAAAAATTTTCATAAAAATATTTTTTATATGAATTTTTAATCTATTTAAAAATATATTTTTATTTCTGATAATGTAATTATTATAATATTACATTAATATAAATTCTTTTAACTATATATTGAACATATAATAATCATCATATATAAAATTAAAATTATTAATTTAATGAAAACTAAAATATAATTTTTGTTTAATATAATAAAATAAATTAAAATTTTAAAAATTAAGTAAAAAAAATTAAAAAAATAATACATATTTAATTTTTAAACATTGAATATTTAATGATGAAAACATATTAAAATAATTATTTTATTTTTATTAGATTTAAAAAAAAAAATATAAAGAAAATTATAATAAATTAAAAAAAAATTTATTTATTTTATAAAATTAATTATTAAAAAAATATAATATATATATATTTAAAAAATTTAATAACATTTAATAAAAAATAAAAATTAAATTAATAAAAAACATAATTAAAAAATTATACTTATTTAATAAAATATCTTTAAAGTATTATAAAATGTTTAATAAAATAAAAATATAAATTATTATTATATCATATCATTGATATTATTATTAATAATAATAATAATAATAATAAAAATAATATTATAATATTCCTATTTTTTTTTATTTTTTTTATTTTATTTAAATTTGTAATATTTTTTTTTTCACTCTTTTTTATAAATATAAATTACTTAAATAATTATTATTTAATAAAATAAATTATGTTTACTTTTATTCAAATTCTTTTTATTATCTATATTTTATCTTTTTCAAAAAAAATCCTTGATGAATGTCAACATAATCTTATTGAAGGTCCATTTTACTAATAATTATTTGAAGATTACAAAAAACAAAAAGACCAAAAAGATAATTTTTATAGAACATTATCTCCATAAGAACCTTAGCCAATAAGGATGACTATAGACTATATGTTTAGCGATATGCCCGATAGCGTATTATCAAATTAATAAAAATTATATTTAAAAAAACTTATATCTGTAGCTTTTATGTATTTTTCAAAATTAATCAAAGTATATCCTATAATCGGTAATAATATATTGCGTAGTTCAATTGCAGACTGTAACAAAGCTGTGATACCTGATCAAGATCGAACAATAGGAATTCCTAATTCCGATTTTCATTTTTATTCTACTTATTTTAATGATTCAAATGTAAATATAATTGCAAGTGCCGGTTCTTGTTTTTTTAGCAAAATAGAAAAAAGACCTACTTTTGCAAGAATCAAGTATAATCTAGCTTTTATTAATTTTTAAGGGGATGCATAGGTATTTAGATCTAACTTATAAACTATTTTACATGAATTTATTCATGCTTTAGGATTTGCAGAAGGATATATAAGATATTGGATCGATCCTGATACAGGAAATTCATATGAAAAAGATACTAATAAAATTATAAAAACTGTAAAAGTAAGAGGAATTGATAGCATTGTTTTATATTCTAAATAAGTATTAAGAATTACAAGAAAACACTATAATTGTCCTACAGCAGAAGGAATGCTTTTAGAAAATAATGTATATATATATATATATATATTATATATATATAAATTTTAATAAATATATAAATATATATATAAATTTATAGGGAATGAATTCAGCATCTAACGGTTCACATTGGGAAAAAACAATAATTGCAAATGAAATAATGTGTGGATCTGGTTTTGGTAATTTACGAACAATAACAATGTTTACAGTATCCTTATTAAGGGACACTGGATTTTATCCATTAATAGACTAAAACTTTGCTGGAATAACAGCTTGGGGAAGAAATAAAGGTTGCAATTTTTTAACTTCTAATTGTTAAAATCCTCCTTTATACCCTGAATTCTCGATTCCAGATTTAAAATATACATGCACATTTGACAAAACAGCTTTAGGAGTCTCCAATATATCTTCAATGTTTGATACTTAATGTTACTCTGTGACTGGTTATTCTACTTGGACTTGTACAATAGAATCAAATAAAAGTTCAGGAAGTGATAAAAGATATGAATATTTTGGGTTTGATAGTCGATGCTTTTAAAGTACGTCTTCATAAGTATTATATTCTTCAAGTTATTTAAGCTATTTAAATAGATGCCATAAATATAAATGTAATGATGAAGGAGACCAAATAATAATAACAATAACTTAGTTAAATTTAGAAATACTATGCAATTAAAATAATAAGGGATAATAAATACAAATTATACAAAATGATATTCGTGGAGGATATTTAACTTGTCCTAATGATTTATCTGAATATTGTAACAACACAAAGTAGTGTTAAAACGATTATTGTTCATATAATGGAATATGTATAAATGGTTTTTGTATTTGTATTTCAGGGTATGGTGGAATAGATTGCTCTATAGTTTGTTCAGAGGCAGTTCAAGACAATAAATGCATAACTTAATGTCCTATAGGAACCTTTTAAGGTCCAGATAATGTTTGTAGGAATTTCTGCCCTCAATCATATTTTAAATAAGGGTAATAATGCATAAGCTGTCACCCGATATGCCAAGAATGTACAGGAAGTTCTCCAAATGAATGCACAGCATGTAATTTTGCTGAGTGTTATTTTGAAGAAAATACTTGTGTAGAAAAATGCTCACCAAACATGTTTTTAAACCCAGATAATGTATGTAGAAACACATGCCCAAATAAATATTTTAAATTAAATGGAATATGTGAAAAATGTCATCCTACCTGCTAAGAATGCACAGGAAGTTCTTCAAATGACTGCTCAGTGTGTTATTTTGAAGAAAATATTTGTGTAGAAAAATGCTCACCAAACATGTTTTTAAACACAGATAATGTATGTAGAAACACATGCCCAAATAAATATTTTAAATTAAATGGAATATGTGAAAAATGTCATCCTACCTGCTAAAAATGCACAGGAAGTTCTTCAAATGACTGCTCAGTGTGTTATTTTGAAGAAAATATTTGTGTAGAAAAATGCTCCCCAAGCATGTTTTTAAACCCAGATAATGTATGTAGAAACACATGCCCAAATAAATATTTTAAATTAAATGGAATATGTGAAAAATGTCATCCTACCTGCTAAGAATGCACAGGAAGTTCTTAAAAAGAATGCACTAAATGTTATCCTCTATATTTTTACTAAGAAAATGCATGTGTTTAATAATGTTCAACTGACTTTTTTCAAAATCAAGATCTTACATGTAAAAAAAATTGCCCAGATTCTTAATTTCCTTTAAATGGAATTTGTACTTAATGTCATTAAAAATGCTTTTAATGCACAGGAAGTAGTGAAAAATAATGCAATAAATGTAAATAAGGGCTTTTTTTGTAAGTAAATGAATGTGTTGAGATTTGTGATATTGAAAATGGGTATAAACTTTAAGGGGAAATATGTAATTTTTGCGAAAAAGGCAAAATATTGACTTACGATTTTTAATGTGTGGATGTGTGTCCGATAAATACTTATTATAATTAGAGTATGTGTAAGCTGTGTACTTAGAATTTATGTGAAAAATAAGATATTTAAAAAATAATAGATTTTAAAATATTTTCTAAAAAGAAAAATAATGTAGATGTTTTATTTGATACCTTTATTCCTGGTTTATGGCTTTATTTTGATTAGATATATGTGTAAATATAAGAATTTAAATATTTTTAAGTTAATAAAAATTATATAAATGAAAATTAAATTTCTTTAGAACTTAATTTTTATAGAAATCCTCCTAATTAATTATTAGATTTAGTTGTTTTTTTTAGTAAAAACATAATAAAAAATATGACTTAAGAATAAAAAAAAATAAGCTTAATATTTTATTTCTAGGTAGATGAAAATATTAAATAAAATTTGAATAATGTAAAGAATTCAATTTAAGTTTTATCTATAATATTTTTAATTTTTATCATTTTTATATTGATTTTTGGAAAATTTTAAATTTATTAATCTTTAATTGATATGCTTTAAATCACTTTCATGATGAAATTAATCAATATAAAGTATTTATTTATATAATTTTTTTCTTTATATTTTTTTTTATTAAATTTTTTTATAAATATATTTATTAAATTATTTTTCTTTTTATAGTAATCCCTATAATTTAGATGTATTTTATGATGGTTATAATATTTTTAAAATACCATTTTTCAATGTTTTTTAAGATTACTATTTGATTTAACATTAAACAAAGGATAAATTCAAATAAAATAAAATAAACGGATTTTTTATTGCAAATATTGGTATTTCATTTAAAAATATTTTATATTTATTAATTAATAAAGGTTCTAATTTTTTATTTTTTGTAATAATTTTTGTATTTGATTAATTTCTTGAATTATATTTAAAACTTTTAAAAATTGGTACAAATACTCACGATATAATTTAAAATATAAAATTAAAATTAAGAAGGGAAATATATTTTTAATTTTTATGGATTTCTTATTTAAATTTAACTTTTTCTTCATTTTTATAATTAAATTCACTTGAATATAATTAACATGGTTTAGAAATATTAAATTATATATTAGTTATTTTTGGTTATATAATAGTTTTAATACCATTGATATTCACTTTTTTAATATTCAAATAAAAATTCTAAGAAAAATTAAAGTTTTTATATGAAGAAAATTTAAAATTTAAATACTTTAATTTAGTTTTATATTTTAGAAAATTCCTTTTTGCATTCCTTATAGTAGCTTTTTACGAATTTCCTTTCGTAATAATAAGCTTTTTATCTTTAAATCATATATTAATGATATTTTTAATAATAAAAAAAAAGCCTTATTATCAAAAAAGATATAATATATAAAATATTATATAAAATATATTCCTTTTTATTGGAACTTTTTTAAATTATTTTTTGATTGAAATTGATTATTTAGATGAAAATATAAGAATAAATTACGGATGGGCAATAATTTCATTTTTCTACATACTTTTTTTGATTGAATATATTATTTTTTTATATGATTTTTAAAAGTTAATTTATGTAAAAATTAAAACTGTAATAGGATATATACAATAAAATAACAAAAAAAAAATCTATACTTGCAAATAATCAGAAAAAAAGAATTTTGCAGCAAGTAACATGTAAATTAATTCACAAAATGTATATTTCGATAAAATAAATAGCCCATGTAAAATAAAATTAAATTTTATATTACCTGAAAATATTTAATAAAAAATAAACAATTAAGAATAAAATGTTATAGAAACTAAAAATAAAATTCAAATTATATAAGAAAATGAATATAATAAATCATCAGCAAGATAATCTAAGAATATTTTTTTTACATAGTAATAAGAAATAAGTGATTTATAGAAAAATAATAATGATATAACAATAATTAATCAAAAAAAAAAAATAAAAAATTAATAAATAATACATATTAGAAATAAATTTCTAAATTTTTATCCAGCTTTTTCTAAAAATTAAACTGATGCAGGAAGTCCAAATACATTTAAATGATTATTATTATTTTTTTAAAATATATAATATTATTAAATTAAATTAAATTAAATTAAATTAAATTATATATATATATATAATTTATAAATTAAATATTTTATAAATGTATTTTTATATAAATAAGAACGTCCTTTTTTTTTATAATTTTTTTTATATTTTTTATATATTTATAATATTTAAATAAATATTTTATTTTTTTAAGAAAAAATATAATATTTTTAATATTTATATATTTTAATTTTTATATATTAATAAATATTTATAATATATAAAAATATATAATTATTTTTTAAATAAATATATAAAAAATTATATAAATAAAATATATTAAATATTTTTTATTTAAATATTATTTTTTTAAGAAAAAATATAATATTTTTAATATTTATTTATATTTATTTTTATATATTGATAAATATTTATAATATATAAAAATATATATTTATTTCTTAAATAAATATATAAAAAATTATATAAATAAAATATATTATATTTATATTTTTAATTTAACTATTTTTTTTTTAAAAAGAATCTTTTTTAAAAAAATATTAGATATTTTTTATTTATTTTCTATTATAAATTAATATATAATCTATTATTTTTTTTTAAAAAAATTGTTTTTAATAATTTTTTTTTTTATTTTTTATTTATTTTTTATAAAATAATTAATTAAAAGGATTTTTATAATATATAATTAATAAAGTTTTTAATTTATAGTAATATTAGATTAATTTTTTTTTTATTGAATTTTATTATTTAATTGATGACATTATAATTATCAATTTAATATTTATTAATAAAATTATTCCAAAATTTATAATTTTTATAAATAATAGTTTTATAAATAAAATTTACTATTATTATTATTTTTATATTTATATTTATCATTAATTTTTTATCATATTCTTATTAATATTTTTATTATTTTTAAATTTATATATTTATTATTATTTTTTTTTTTATTTAGATACTTATTATTATTTATTTTATTTTTATTAATTGACTTCATTATTTTTTTATTCTATCATTCTCCTTTTTAATATTTTTATTTTAGTCATATAATTATCCTTTCCTATGTTAAACTCTATTAAACCATATTCCGTCATACTTCTTTCATCCTCCTACAATAACTATCATTTTCCCTTTTTTATCTTCAGAATATTCACCTATATAATTTTTTTTCATCTAGCCAAATAAAACATCCTTTTCCATGAAATTTCCCTTTCTAAAAATTTCCTTCATAAATCTTTCCATTACAATAAATCATTTTTCCATATTCGGTAATCATTCCGACTTCAAATTATCCTTCATAATTTTTTCCTTCAAACCATATAAAAGTCCCTATTCCATTTTTTTTACTTGTTTATAATCTCCTTTATATCTACTCTCGTCTATCCACTCCTCTTCTCTAATTCCTTATTTTAAATAATTTTTCCAGTCTCCTTTATAAACAGAAACCTATGTATAGTCCCTTTTCTATGTTGCTTATTATCATCCCATTCCCCTTCATAAATATCCTCTTCTGCTGAAGTAAATCTACTCCTACCTTGTCTTTTTCCTTCTACAAAAAAACCTTCGTATTTAGAACTATCTGGCCATGTTAAAACACCCTTTCTATGCATTTTATTTCCATACCATTTTCCTATGTATGTTGAACCATTTATAAGTATTTAAGCCTTTGGAAATTCTTTAAATTTAAATTTTTCATCTGGAGGATCTATTCCGTATATATATTAAGGAAGTTTCGGTATTCGATTTTATATAGTAACAATTTATTATTATTAAGTTTGTTAGAATTCATTATAATACTATAATTTTGTGGCTTCTTGCTCTAGATAATTTATTTTGGGATTCGTTTAAGGCTTTTTTGGACTATTTTTTGTATTAAAATAATATATTTATGAATCTTCTTGATAAATATTTTATACTTAATCTGAGTTTATTTATTTCTTTCTACTGTTTTATTTTTTGTGATCTTATTGATAATTGATTTTGTTCATCTTATATATTTAATTTCCTTATTAAATAAATGTTTTCATTTTGGATTTCTTCGCTTTGACAGCTTCCCATATATATATCTGACTATGTTTTTTTAATTTACTATTTAAATTTTTTTTTTTATAATATAATAATTTAATTAAGTCTTTTAATTACTGTTTATTATTAGTTTTTAATTTTATTTTTTAGTTTAATTATTATAAATATAGTTATTAGTCAAATATAAAGTTTTGTATTTAATTTATAAAATATAAATAATAATAATTTTATTATAATTATTATACTTGAATGGAAAATAAATTTATAAATAACATATATTTAAAATAAGTAAATAATAACATTTAATTTATATTAAAAAAAATTATAAAATATTTATAATAAAAAATTTTATTTTCATGTTTATTTAAAAAAATTGATTAAAAATAAATAAATAATTACAAATAATTTAATAAAAATAAAAAAGTTAAAAAAAAGTAAAACCTAAAATATCTTCTTTTTTTTTAAAAAAAAATATATATACAAAAAAAAATGTTAAAAACCTTTACAACCCAATTAAGATATAATTTTGCATATTACCGAAAATAAACAACTCCAACTGTTTTACGTGACCCTCGTTTCACATTTAAAGGTATGAAAGTATCCCATAAGCCTAAATAAGATATTCTTCCTTACACTGAAGAAAATATTCCCATATCATAAAATTATTAAGCTGATTTATTTATAACAAGAAAACAAAAACAAATTTTAAACAGAAAACAAAAAAAATAAGTGGAATAAACTTTAATGAAATAACACATGTTTTAAGATCATTAAATACCCGAAACTATATTATTGGAACTTTAGGACTCTTTTTTATATTAAAGTCATCCTATAAAAATTCTCATTAATTTATATGAATTAGAAAAAATGGAAAACAAAAATAATGAAACAATTGATTTAATGGAACTTTCTTTGAGGAAATTAATTAATGAACAAATTCTTGAATTTAATTAAGCATCATATGGAATGCTAGTCTCTTTGGCAACTAAATATATACAATCAGATGAATTAATTTGGAAAAAGCTTCTTAATAATGCCTGTAGACTATTTACTAAGGCAGAATATTCGCAAGAAGGAATCATAAACGACAAAAAAAATGAGAAACAGTAAAGTAATTTAGTCTTTTTATTCAACAATGTCCTAAAATACGCCGAAAAATTCCAGAATCACCAAGGAATAAAGTAATTAGGAGATATAGCAGCTTCCCATTTAGTATAAAAATATGACCTAATTAAAAACACTAATTAAAAGTTCTTATTTATGTCCAACAATTTAAAAATTGTTCCTTTTAAACAACAAATGTGGACATTAAAATACATAAAAGAAAACCAAAAAAACATACAAGAACTTTCTGTGGAAACATTGACTAATTTAATTAGTGGTTTATAAAAAATGCGTGTTTAAAATTTGAAAAATGAAAAATTCGGAAACGATGTTTTAAGTTCAGATCTTTTAAATTCAATAGAATAAGAATGGATTAAAAAATTCTAAGATTAAATTTCACTTTTTGTGGTTTATTTTTATTGCTTGGGATCTTTGGGACATATTTAGGGCCAAAGTAGGGATTTTTGTATGTAATTTTGGATGAAAAATAAAGAAAAATTTTAAAATGTTAATGATTTGGCATTTTTAGGGGAAGCTTTGAGGAATTTTAAGCTTTTAAATGAAGAATATTTTGATTTTGTTAATCTTTATTTGGAAAAAAATATTGATTCTTATTTAGTTAAGAACTTTTAACCTGTTGCTATTTAATTATTAAGGGTAAAAACTTAAAAAATGTAATTTTCTATGAATGTTTTGAAAAAATTATATGGAGTTTTAGAAAGCGCTTATGTATAGGGATTCTATAAAATAAATGATGATTAGAAAATAAGGGCTCTTAAAATTATTAATAAATATGATTCAAAAATTTTTGATTTGGAGAATTCTAAACTTTATGCTTTTTTAACTAATTCGAAAAGAATTTTATGATTTATTTTTAACTTATTTTTATATAAAAAAGAAAAAAATATTTGGTGTTTTTGATTTTTTTTTTATTTATTATTTAAATAATTTTTTTTAGTACATATATTGTATAAATAAATATATTTGTTTTTTTTTTTTAACTTTATTAAAAATATCTTTTTCAAATTTACATAAAAATTCAATTAAATATATAAAAATTTGTACTTTATATAATTTTTTTTTTTTTCAAAAATAACTTGATAATTTTTTTAATAAAGGAAAAAATAAAATATACATTTTTAATTATAAATATAATTATTTATTAAATAAATTAAAAATAACAAAAATAAAATGTGTATTGAATTTGCATTCAAAAAAGCAGGAATTCCTATTATTAGAAACTTCCTTCATTCAACTGAAGGAATTGCATCGTAAAATTATATAAATTAAGTGAAAATTAATTAATATTTTTAAAAATTTAAAGTGGATTACCTTTAAGAGCTTAAAAAAATTTATCGATTCAATATACTCATAAAGTATTTAAAGACGGAACACTTGTAAGTATTAAATGTAAAAAAAAAAAAAACAAAAAATATTTAATAAAAATTATTTTATTAATATTTATATTTAAGAAATAACAAATATCGTTGATGGATTTAAATGCAAAGTATTAAATTATAATTAAACCATAAATATATATTAATAAAACTTATTTTAATAAAAAAATAGGGAGACAGCAAATGAAAATAAGATAAAATAATATCTTTTTTTAAAAATAAAGAGTCATCAAAAAAAAATTATAAAAAAAAAATTCTCTTTATAAAAAAAAAATACATAACAAGAAAATTTAAATTAATAAAAAATTTAATTTAATAAATATAATTAAAAAATTTTCTCACAAACTAGGTCTATTGTTGTTATTATTATTAAAATACTTTCTAAACCTATTTTTTTAATCAAAACCTTCGTCAAATTTAATAAAGCTGTCCCCCCATCTTTTCCCTTTATACTAACTCCCTTCAAACCTTTTAATTCTAAACAAATCATAATAAACTTTTTAATTTTCCACCATTTCTGAAACTAATTTCCCCACGCCTCCGGTATATTTAAATCCATGTCCACTACATGGACTGATATAAATAATATTTTTATCCTCTTAATCAAAATCAATAACGAAATTTTCATCAGGTGTAAGTGTTACAAAGCATTCTTTCTCATCAATTACATTTTCTTTAGAGATGCAAGGAAAAAATTCCTAAAGTATATGTTTCATTCTTACTTTTTCAAAGGTATCAACTGAACGAGTCGGAAAGTTTGGATTTTCGATAATTTTGCAATGTTAATTAGGTGAAAAACCCAGTTTGATTCCTTAATTTTAAACATTAGGGAATCCATAAACATAGTACATAGGATTTTTGCTTACTTCATACATAAAAATAGGACATTTTTACATTCCTAAGTCTATTTAAGGGGGGACATTGAACCAAAAAAGTTAAATTTTTCGAATTTCGAAAGGTACACCTTTTATAATATTCACGTTCCACATACCACATGCAAAGACGATTTTTTTGCTTTTTATTTTTCCAATATCTGTCACTATTTCAAATATATCTTCTTCATTTTTTTAATGTTTTAGATACTTACAGTTCTCAACGATTCTAGCGTCTTTATTTATTTTCAATCCTTCCTCAATAAAGGCCTAAATACAATTTTCCGCGAACAAAACACCCGCATTTTCATCAAAAACACCAATAATATCTTCATTTTCAAACTCAAAATGTGGAAAATTGGCCGTAATCTAGTCTTTACACAATATCTAAATAGGCACTCCTTTTACTTAATTAATCATTAAGCATTAATTGACTAAATTAGAGTCTTTAGTTCCCATAAAAAGTCCTCCAGTTTTTTTAAAAATCTATTTCTTGCTCAATTTACTTAACTCCTCGAAAACTTAGAAACTAGATTCTACCAAATCGTAATATACAGGATCTTCAAATGTCAGTTTTCGGGTTATTCTTGTATCTCCATGGGAACTCCCCAAATTATGAGCTATTTTATATTATTCAATTCCTAAAACTTTGTATTGATTTTTGGCTACATGAAAAAAGGTAGATGAACCATGTCCGCCTAAACCTATAACCGTAATATCGTATAAATCTTCCATTTTTATAATTTTTTTGAAATATGTATTTTAAATTATTTATTTTTTTAAATTGATAACAAAAATAATATTATTTTTTTAAAATTTTAATATAAATTCTATTATTTATAAAATAAGTAAATTTATAGATTTAATATAATTATATATTATGTATTATTAAAATAATAAATATATTATTATTTTTTTTATAAATTAATTGTATTTTATATAATATTTATTAATAATTATATTGATATTTATTTTATAAATAAGAATAATGAATAAATTAATTTCAAATATTTTATAAATATAATGCATAAAAAATTGATTTAAAAATATGTTTGTATTAATTTCCATAAATATTCAATATTTACAAAGATAAGGAAAAAGTAGACTTACTATGGGTAATCAAAATTTAAATTTTTTAATAAATATATTATTATAAAATCTTTAAATGACATTTTTCATGATTTTAATGAAGAAAAATATTATATTTATTTATAAGGGGCTTTGCTATTATTATAATTTGAATAATAAAAAAAGTTCAAACAATAATTAGTATAGTTTATATTATATTATAATATATTATATTATATTTTATATTTTTTATATTATATTATATTATATTATATTATATTATATTGAATTGAATGATATTTTTAAAAATGAATATTTTATTTTAATTATACATTTTTTTATTATTTTTTAGAAACTCGATTACATAAAAATACAAGAAAAGATTGATTGTTGCCTTTTTTTTTCTTTAATTAAGTTTTTTTTTTAAAAAAAAAATTACAAAAGTAATAAAAAAAAAACTAATAAACAAATTTATATTTTTTTTATTAATCTATCTGATTAAAAATATTATTAATAAAAATTTTAAGATTATAATTAATATAAATTTTGCCGAATTCAAAAATACATACATAAAATTATTTGAATATGTGAAATATACTATTTTTGTTAAATTAATTTGTTAATGCTAAAATATTAATTAAATCATATAATAATTTTTTTATTTTATTTTTAAATTTATATCCTTTTTTTATAGATAATAGTTGTTGTTTTCAATGCTTAATCTAAATATTATTTTTTAAAATTGAAAAAAAATATTAATTTATATTTATAAATTATAAATAAATTTTTATTTATTTTTAATTAACATATAAATTGTTTAATTAAATTTTTTAAGAAAGTATTTTTTTTATATAAAATTTCTTTTGATTAGTTATTTTAGTAAAAATTAAAAAATTAAAAAAACAAAAATTTAAAATATGAAAAAATAAAAATTTAAATAATAAAATTATTTTTGTTTTATACAATATACATAATATAAAGATATAAATAATTTTTATTTTAATATAAATATAATTATATAAAAAATATATACATATTTATCATATTTTTTTTTTTTATGTTAACTTTTATATTTAACAAGTTTATTATTACTTAAAGATTTATAATTTTTATTTTTAAGGGCGATTTCTAAATATTTAGATTCTAAAAATTAATCCCACTTTTTCAATTTTTTTTTAAATAGAAATATATATATATATATATAGATTTACTTTATTATAAGGAATTTATTTTTTCAAAGCTTCTTAATAAATAGGTTTAACATCTATATTAAAAATATCATCAAAATATTAAGAGTTTAATTTAACGCATTAAGATAATAATATAAAAAATTCCTTTTTTATATTTAAAATTATTTATATAAAAAAAAATACTTACTTCATACGGGTCTTTTCTAAAAATAATATCATAATTTTTTTTTTATGCATTTTATTATTCATTATCATCGTCAATATTATTTTGTGAAAAAATTAAAGATAAATAAGTTTCATACTAATTTTAATTATAAATTTATTTATTTTATAAACAATTAGGACTATTTTACAACGAATAAGGTATTTCTTTCTAACTATCTTCTTATCTAACTATTTTTTTTTTTTTTCCATTTTTGTTGGAAACTACTTGCAATTAGAAAATAACTCTTTGGCTAAAGGAGGCTAATCTGCGAAAAAGACTTATTTTTTTTCTTTTTAATTTTCATTTAAAATATTATTTTGGGATTTATTATTATTATCAAAACTTGTAAAATCATTTTGACTTTTTTAAGTTAAATTTTTGAAAATTTAAATTGGAATTATTCTTTAAGAAATCTTTTAAACTTAATAATTTTTCAAAATCGTACATATTTATTTCTGACTTTTATATATCATTTATTCCAAACTTACAGGACCTTCTTTATTGTTTAGAATAGAGTCTAGATTTTAATTTTGTGAAATATTTAAATTATAATTCTTTTCTTCATCACTATCTTATATTGTACTGTTTTTCTTTTCAGATGATTAGTTTATTTCTTCTATAGAACATAACTTTTTTTCCATATCTTTTTTTAGAGATGTTTTTTAGCCAGTAATTTATTATTTATATAATTCATGATTTTCTTATGAAGGATTGTTTATAGTCATTTAACTTAATATTTCTATATAAAACTAATTTATTTATTAACCTATTTATTTAAAATTAGTATTTTTGTTATAATTTTTAAAAAACCTTAATTTTATTAAGTTTAATTAATTAATGAAGTATTATAGTGTGAATAAATACTTTCTTGGGAAGATTATTGTTAGATTTATTTCAAATTATTTAAACTCCTCTCTAATAGATTTTTTTCTTATATTGTTTGTTAAAATAAATTTGCTAATTCATTGTTTTTTATTTATATTTATTAATTATTATTTTACAAATCTTTTTTTTAAAAAAAATAAAATAAACTGTTATATATTTTTTATAAATATTAATAATTTACCTTTTATTTCTTTTTAATGTTTTTCCTATGATATTGAAAGTTATACTATTTCTTGTCTTTTTTATTTAATTTCTTCTTTTAACTGTTTAAGCTCAGAATTCAAATTTGTATTATTAGAAATTAAAATGTTATATTAATATTATATCATATTTAATTTCTCTTATAATTAATCATAGTTTTCATTATTGTTTTAAAATCTTTCCATAGATTTTAAATATAGATTTATTTAATCCCTTAATTCAATATTTTCTTGTTCTATTTTTATAATTTATTATTCTAAAATTATGTTTTCTTAAATAATCATATTATTTTAGTTTATTAAAATTTCATTTGTAAGCTTTTTTTTATTTTATTATTTTTAAATTTTCTTTTTTTTACTTTTTATTCATTATTTAAATTTTATATTGTGTATTAAGATTTTTCTTAGTTTTATGTTTTTTCATTTAATTTTGAATTATAAATATCAATTTGAATAAAAAGTTCTCCTTTTTTTTAAAAAAAAAATTAATTAAAAAAAATATATATAAAAAATGAAATAATAAGTGTATTTTATATTTTTTTTAAAAAAAAATGTGAATAATTACTTATTAATTAATTGCAAATTTTCATTTATTATTCATATTATATAACTTTTTATAATGCTATTTAAAATTCATCTTTTTTTAAATAAAGATATAATTGTTTATAAAATAATTATATTACTTTCGATATCAATTTCATTTAAATCTTATGATATTCTGGATTAAATAAAAGGCGTTTCTAATGTAATTTCTAGGTCATTTAAAAATTCATTTATTTTTTCGTAATTTTATTCCCAATAATTTATATAGGTTTCACTCATTTATATAATTTTTTTATTATTTTTACCTTTTGGTATATTATTATTAAATTAATTTTTCTTTTTTAAATATTTAAATGATAATTAATAAAATGGTTATTTTAGTAATATAAAAATTATATATATAAGTTTATATAATTAAATATTAACAATGATAACCAATATTAATTAATATCCATTAAAAAAAATTAATTATATATATTTTAATTTATATTTTAAATATATTTATTTTTATTTGTTTATATACATTTTAAAACATTAAATCCAAAAAAAATATATATAAATAAAAAATGAATAAAAATAAAATATTTTTCAAAAATTATTAATTTGAAAACTAATTTAAGCTTTTGCAATTTTTTTTTTATATCTTTTATAAAATAAAATGTAAATTAAATCTTTTATTTTCAATTTAAAATACTATTAAAACTTAAATATTATAATAAAAAGCTAGAAAGCTTCCATACTTCTAAAAAATATAATTATTGACATAAGTAATCAAAATTGCATTAATTAGATTATAAAATAATATTTAGTTAATAATAAAATATATATTTAACTATAGAAAATAAAATCTTTTTAATTTTAAAATTAAAAAAAAGCTTCTAATATTTTTATTAATTTAAATTCTATATTAAAGGGAAGATTAGTAATAACTTATAAATTTGCTCTTAAAAATCTTTAATATATATGACTTAATTTTATAGATGAAAAATTATTTTTTAACTTTAAATGAGAAACTTGAACTTAAGGTAATAGAAAAATTTGAATTTGTAAAAAAATATATAAATAACTTTTTTTAAGTTTTTAGTAAAAAAAATATTTTTAAGTTTAAATTATTGGATTATATTTTATCATATATATGATTTTATTTTTTAAATATTTAGTAAGTTTATATGTAAAAATTTCAAGATTTTTTTAAAAAGCATTAAATCTTATTTTATATCCACCTAATATTTAATTAAAAACTACTTATTTATTCTTTTAATTCAAAATAATTAAAATAAAATTATATTTATAATTAAAAAAAATAAAGAGAAGAATTGTAATAAAAAGTTAAAGAAATTTATAAGAAAAATAAAATTTAAATCAATGAATAAAAAAATTATTTTATTTAAAAAAAAATATCTATTTTTTTTTATAAAATAAAAATAAAAACTAGAAAACTTTATTTAAAATTACAAAATATAAAAATAAAAAAATAATTTTAAAAAATTTATATTATACATTATCATTCCTCTGCATGTAATTTAAATTATTTTTATAATTTAATTTATTAAGAATATTTTTCCTCTTCTCTGAAATACCTTTAAAATTTATTTTGTTCATTAAGCGGTTTTAACATATTTTAATTATTATTATTAATTTGTTACTAAATATTTATTTATTTTTATGTATTGCTATTTTAAATATTAATTTATTATTAACTTTAAGGCAACCTTTTCTACACATTACTATTTTATTAATTATTTAAATTCTAAGAGTTTTAATTATTTTTAGATTGGATAGAATTATTGCTTTAAGGTTAATTATTTGTTTTTTTTTTTTTTATAATTTTTGTTTATTATTATTTTATGGTGTTTTATCTCTAATACCCTTATTTCGACATAAATTTATTTCCTTAATTTTGATTATTGTTTTAATATTAAATGCCTTTTTAATTCAACATTTTCTATTTATTATTTACTTCTTATAATTTTTATTAATACTACTATTATTATTATTAACTTTCAATAAATTATTAGCCAAGTCTTATAGCTGTTGTTTTTGCTAATTTTTTTAGTTGTTAATTTCTATTATTAGAACAGCCTAATAAACTGCTATATGTACTATTTGAAGGCAATTTTATTGGAATTCCTTTATATATTAAATCAAATCCTCCTATTTATTCTTCCTAACCATTAAGTCTATATATAAACAAAAAAAATTAAATTAATAAATATATATTGTTTAAATATTTAAATTTTAATTATATAAAAAAATTTATCATATAATAAAAAATATTGGAAACATATATGTAAAAATCTTATTATAAAATTAATGTTTAATAATATAGTGATATGATTTTTATTTAGGATGGATTATATATTTTATTATTTTAAAAATATTTTTTTTACACTTTTTCCATATCTATTATTGTAAATGTATCATCTAAAATACTTAATTTCAATTCACTATCTATTTATGTATTAGCAGTCATTGAAGGACTTTATTAATATATATACATATATATATGATAACAAATAAATATAATTATTTTACCTTGAATTTATTTCTAATAGCCATGGTTTTAAATTTGCATCAAAAAGAACATCAAATCCATACAATTCAAAGCATCTTTTATCATTTATAATTACTTTTTGTACTGCTAGTAGTGCTTTTATAATAATATTTTAAACTTAAAAAAATGCTTCACTAACTTTTTCTTGACCAAATCTAAAAAATTTTATTAATTTTTTATAAAAATACAAAAAATACTTTTATATCATAAATAATTTAAGTGTTTGTAAAAGCCATTTTCCTCCTAATTTTTCATCATAATTTTCAGAATTTTTTTATATAGCGACATTAGTTAAATGAACATCTAAATATTATAAAATATATATATATTAGAAAAAAAGTTCTTTTATTTACAAACATTATTAATATCTTCCAAATCATATCTATGATGAGTGAACCTTGCGAAACCAGTTCTATATAAGTATACAGTTAAAGGCTAATAAGAAACGCAAAGTGCATATATTCTCATATCAAACTTTTACCTCCAATTAATAAAGGATCACTAATATATTTTTATACAACATAAGGATCTGCCTAAAAATATATTTTCTTTAAAAAAAAAAGTTTAAGTTATTTACTGAAGGATTTTCAGGATTATATCTATATTAATTTTTCCAAGAAGCAATATCTTTTATATTTCGAAAAATAAAAATTCCTTTTCCTTATGATTTACCAACCTTTTTATTTATTTAAAAAAAAAATAATAATATCTAAATTAATTTTATTTTTTTAAACTGGCTTCATTATCCATAATTATTTTTATTCACTTATTTAATTAACTTTTTTAAATTCTTCACAAAAAATAGTATATTCGCTTGGTAATTAATAAGTTAAAGGCGTAAAATTATAACTTTAGTTTTTTTATATCTAAATAAAAATATTTTGTAAATATTCTTTTTTACGATAAGGCATCTTCATTTTTCGCTTCTTTTTCTAAAGATTTTTTATGTTTTTTAATATTTTTTATCATTAAATCTTTTCTTGTAAGCTTAAAAAAAAACAAATGATTAAAATTTAATTCTTATTTTTTTAATATACTTCATAATGATTTCTATAATGATTAACTCTTTGAGATATTGAAATATGCTACTAGTCCATTATATCAACTACCCATTCTTTTTCGGTCCAATTAATATCCCAATCATCTCCATCAGATTCGCGCCATTATCTTCTTTTCATGGCTTCAAGAATGCAATTCTTGAATGTGGTTTTATATTTTATTTATGAACTATATAATTAAGTTTATTTTTTTAATAATAATATTATAAAATGGTTTTATTTTTTTACGGATGGACTGGATAATGTTCTTTCTTTATATATTTTCTAAAATATTCTGACATTCAAAATTTTTAAGTTTAAATAAATATATTAACTATTTTTTTTTATTAAAAAAAATCAAACTAAAAAAATTTAAATTTTTTTAAAAAAAAAAAATATTAAAGTGTATGTGTTTATATATTTAAATATATACTAAGCTAATATAATAGTATACAAAATAAAATTTTATAATAAATTAATTTTAATATTATTAATTAATAAAATCATATATTATTTTTTTATTTGTTGTTATTAAAATTTTAATGCTTCCACTATCTATTATTCTATTTATTTTTAACATAATCATTTGCAATGTTTTTGTTTTCTTTGTTACTTTAAACATTATTTCTTTACAAATTAATGTCAAAATCTTTCATAAAATTAGAAGAAAGTTACATTTTTTATATATTATTGTCTTTCAATTCATCACCACACTCAAAGTTCTCGCTTTATTCAGAAACAGATAATTAACTACATTCAATAATTTCGTTTTAGGAGTTTTATTCAGTAATATAGTCATTAATTTCATTTTAATTTTAATTCCTTTATTTTAGAATTTCTCTTTAAAAAAGATGTTCTTTTAGAATTTCTTCAAGAAATTATTTTTCTTTGGAAATTTATTATAATAAAGTATTTTTATCTGAAATAATCTTCATATAATTTTCAAAATTTTCTTTTCCTTTTTATTTCAAATTTTCGATTTCTTAAAATAAATCTAAATTTTTTACATGAGTTTTATCTTCTTTTAATTAATAATTTTGTTAAGAAATTTCCTTATTTTTTTCCTCTAAAAATTCCACTTTTTTTTACAAAGATTAATTTTCCTCTTTTAATTTCTCAATCTCATTTTTATAATTTTCCTCAGAATTTTCTTTATTTTTCAATTCTTCATTTATTTATTATATTTATTATCTTAAAATAGCATCTCTATATTAAAGTTTTCTTATTATTTGTTAAGATTATTAATTACTTTCCAAAAAATTAATATTTGTATTGCAATCAGTTTAACAAAGTAAATCACTTCTTCCTTAATTTTGAAATAAAGTTTAATTTTGGTATTTATTTTCAATATTTTATTCATTAATATAAATATTCTATTTTAATTTCTATATCGATTCTATTTCATTTTTTTATATTTAAGTATCAAATAATAGTTATTAAGTAGAATATATATCATTTTGATTTTTATTTGTATCATAATTTATAGTATTATAAATACTATTGTTTATATTATTATTAGAATAATTATTAATACTATTATTTATATTATTTTTAAAATTAATGTTATTATTATTATTTAAATTTAGTGTATTTATTTTATTTAAATTAATATTATTAGATTATATTTATTATATTAATATTTTATCTTGTAAAACTTAAATTTATTGTTTAATAGGGGAATCATGATGCTATATTTTGTTTAATAATTGTGATATTTTTTTACTGCTTTTTGATGTTTTAGACTTATTCATTTGTAAAGATTTATTCAAATAATTATTGTTTTTAACACTTTAACTTGTATAAAAACTTTTAAAAATTATGGGATTTTCTTTTATTTTAGAATATGATTTTCTAATATTTATTTTATTTTGATAATTTTAATTATTATTCTTTTCAAATGATTTCTCAAGTTAAATATTGTGAGTTGTAAAAGAATTATGATTAATTTTTTCTTTTGTATTTGAATGACTAGCTATGCATTTTCGCAATTAATTTTTATTTTTTAAATCGTTTTATTTAAATGCCTTTAATATATCATTTAATTTTTCTTTGTAATTTGAATATGTTATGTTTTTAGTTTATAATTAGGACATTATTATTAATTTATTTTATTTAAATGAATAAATTTATCTGTTAATATTAATTATATGAACATACTAATTTTAAGTAATATTAGTATTTTATTTTTTTAAATAATATTAATATAATAATAAAGAAAATATATTAAAAATATAAAAAAAATTATATATATAAATATATATATATATATATATATATATATTTATATATAATATATTCTGAAAGTTTTTATTTTTATTGTAAATATTTATTCTCAATTTAATCTAGAAAAAAATCATTTTGATTCGTTTTTTATAAAAAAATATATAAAAAAGTTGATTTCTATATAGTCAATAAAAATTATTAGTTATATGTCAAAATTTGATAAAAATTATTTACTATTATAAATATTTTAAAATATATTATTTAATTTTTTTTACTTAAGTTTTAAATTTTTTATTAGTGTATAATTTTTATATGAATTAAAAATTTATATTTTAATTTTATATTCTTTATTATACTTTCAAAATAAAAAATAGAAAATTTCTATATAATATTTATTATAATATATAATATAAAATTTTTCTTTTTATTTTTATATAAAAATTTATTTTATTTATTAAATTAAAAATACAAAAAAAATATAAAGGATGTTAGAACCATATAATTATAAATAAAAATCTACTCCTAATAATCAAATATAAAAAAGAAACTTTAATGAATTTAATTAATAAATGGATATATTTAGTATACCGAGTTAAATTTTCTAATAAATGGATAATAATTTTAACAAAATACACAATAAAATGATGAAAAATTTTAATAGAGCATTTGAAGATTTTGGAATGGGATTTGGTGGAAGTATAATGAAGGAATTCTCAGATCATTTCGGGAATATAGATAAAGTTTTTAATGATTTTAGTGATAGTAATATCCTTTTATTTTATTTAAATAAAAATTATTATAAATAAATAAATTATTTATTATAAAGTTCATAAAAATGTAATTAATGGAAAAGGCCCTTTTAATTCTGTTAGTAGAACTTTTGCTATGTGTAAAAAAATGGGAAAAGATAATGAAATTCATGAATAAAAATATTTTGATAATAATGTTATTTAAAAAGACTATTCTGGAAATACAGTATAACCCTTTTATATTAAAAAAAAAAAAAAGAAAATTAATATTTTTTATTTAGATTTCTGAAAGATAATAAGCTTATAGAAATACAGAAAATAAAAGAGATATAATTGCCTAAGAAAGAATGTTAAATAATTAAGGAAGAAAAGTTATTAAAGAAAGAAATAATGGAAATTTAAATAAAATTAACAATTTTTATAATATGGATGAAAGTAAATGAAAAATATTTAAAAAAATAACTAAAATATTTATTAAAAACAAAAAATTGATATTTTTTTTAAAAAAAAGATTAAATAGATAATTTTGATAATTAATGGAATTTTTTTGATAAATAAATTGGCTTTTCTTAAAATAATGCAAGATAACTAGGAATAGGATTAAATAAAAATTAAATTGATTATGGGAATTAATAAAGATATTAAAAATAATAATAAGATTAAAAAAACCTTAAAAAAATAAAGACTATAAACAATATAATTTCAAAAATGATGAAAGAAGAGGTGACTATATACCTGCAGAAGTTAAACACTAAGATATGCCTGTGAGAATTAATAAAAACGAAAATTTCGGAAGAAGAGGAAGTAAATAAACTAATAATAATATGAATTATAATTTTAAATTTTTATAAAAAATAGCTGATTTATAACCTACTTAACCAGGAAGAGCTGTAAATTAATTACCAGTAAGTGAATCTGCAATTTAAAATAATAATAATAATAATAATCCTATTTCTAATGTAAATAATTAAAGAACTTAATTACCAAGAGCTTCTGTTAATTATCCAAGATAAAGTAATAATAATGCAAATTTACGACCTGTAAGAAATTCAGTTGAGCCAGGAGTTTATCGTAATCAGGCTAATAAAGGAACTATGCCTAAAGCTGGATGAAAAAAAAATTATATATATTAAATAATTATTATATTTAAAAACTAAATTATAATCTCTTAAAATTAATTTTAGAATTATATAAATATAATTATAAATATATTTTATGAATATTTTTTATATTAATATTTAATAAAAAATTATTTAAAATATATTTTATTTGTTTTTTCTTCATTAAAACAAAAATAATTAATAGATATTTTTTTTTTGAAGTTCAATATTTTTAAATACGTTAAACTTATATATATGAATACATTATTAATTTCTATAATTATTTTATATCAAATATTATTAAAAATTTATTAAATTAAATATAAAATATATTTATTTATTAAAAGTATAATATATTTCTAACATTTATAATTATAAAAAATAAATAATATGCAAATTTTCTTTAATAAATAAAATATATTATTTATTTATTATATTAAAAGAAAAAAATCTAATAATAAACAAAAAATAACAAGAATAATATAAATTTAAATTAAAAATTAATATTTTCAAGTCCTGAAATAAATAGAAATAAAATAATTGATAATATGAGTATGAATTAAAAAGAAAGTAAGGCTTTATAAAATCTTAGGGAATTAAGTGTAAAATGTATATCTAATTAAGTAATCAGTTTAAAAGAATTAAATAACAATTTAATCAAATTAGAAACATCAAGTGTTTATTTTAATACTAACAAAGAAAAATTAAACTAAACAAAAAATAAAACCCGCAAATATATTAGTTAAATGTAAAATGAAGAAAAATAAACAAAAATTACTTTAAAAAACATTTAAAATAGAGAATAAAAAAATTAATAATTTTTATATTTAAAATAAAATAATTAAAAAAATAATTATTTTTCGGTTAAATATTTCCAAACACAAACAGATTAGAATTTATTTGTTAAAAGTGAATTTATTAAAAAATATATGAATAAATAAGAAAAAATAATTTTAAATGAGAAAAATATTGTGAAATGTTATAAAAATCATTTAAAACACAATTTCAACAAAAAATAAATAAATAAATAAAACTCTCATATATTAATAAATAATATATTATACTAAAAACCATAAAATAAATTCAAATCTTAATCTTAGCATATATATATAACAAACACAAATAATAATTTAAAGCAAACGAATTCTTAATATAATAATAATAATTTATTTTATCAAAATAATTAAATTAATTATAATGAAAAACGATAATTAATGCTTAAAAAAAGTTTGCATTAATGTAAAAGCAAAAAAAATTATAATTAATGGAATGAAAATAGAAAATAAAAATAAATTCTTAATTAAGATTAATAAAATTATTAATAAGAAAATTAAATATGTATAAAAAGTAAATAAAATTTTTGATTTATAAATATAAAAATTGATTTTGTATTTTTTGTAAATAATTTAACAAAAAAAACTAATAATGATAGTAAATAAACATAAATAAATATTCTTTTTTTAATAATATAATAATGTAATTTTAATAATTGTTTTTTAAGTAATAATTAAATGTTTTTAAAATAATAATAATAATAATTTAAAAATTCAATAAAAATAAATTTCTATTTATATAATTTTAATTATTATATATTTTTGAAATTACAAAAGAATCAAGTTATTAATTATTATTATACGTCAGGCTAATGAATTTTAGATTCTATAATTTCTTAATCAATCAGATTTTCGGTTTATAATAAATTAATTATCATAACTTAAATTTTATAAATAATAATATCAAAGCAGTACATAAATTTTATTAAATCTTTTATCTTTTTAATATACAAGCTTTTTAAAATAATTATAATAAACTAGTTAGCTTATATTAATTTATTTTATTTGTTATATTTAACCATTAAGTAAATTACTTTACTTACATATATATATATAAAAAATATTTTTTTTTTTTAGAAAATAAACTTTTTAATATATTCCATTTATTTCTATCTGCAAAATTAGAAAATTATAAAATAATTATATTTTTTATTATTTTATTCATTTAATATACTATTGATATGTTTCTTATATTTATTAATTTTATACATTTAATATTTTTTTTAATACAAACTTATAATGCTTATTTTAAATAAGTATATTTATTTGGCCTACTTTTAAACATAATATAACAATTTCGACATTTTTTAATTTTTAGAACATAAAATACAGTCATATATTATTGTTTATTTAAACTTAAAATTTTTTTAAAAAAAACTTAAGTAAAATAAAAAAAAATAAACAAAGTATTTTTTATGTTAAAATTAAAGCAATTAAGATTTTACTTAAAGTCCAAAAAATTCATAATTTTAATATTAATTTTCTTATAAAGAAAATTTGAAATATTTTTTTTAATATAAAAATAATAATATATTTTATTAAAATTATATATTAAATAAAACTTTATATTTTTTAATAATCTAAAATCTTGAAATAATTTTATCTTAATTATATTATATAAATAAAATATGTTTTTTATGTTTTTTTTTTTTTAACAAAAAATAAATTAAAATTAAAAATAAAAATAAATAATTTATTAAATAAAAAAAAATATATATATTCATAATATTTACAAAGTTTTTAAAAATTGAAAATGATAATAATTATTTAAATATTTAATTTATTATTTTAATTTATTATTAATTAAATTTATATATATATATATATATTATTATTTTTAATATAATTTTTTTTAATTTACTTTGATAATTTAATATAATAATAATAATAATAGAATCATTTTTTTTTATTTAAAATTGATAGGTTGTTAATGTTTTCAAAATAATTTTATTAAAAATTATATTTATAAAAAATATAATATTATTATAAAATTAATAATAATAAAAAAAAACTAATTTCAATATTATATTTTGCATATTATAAAAAAGTATTAAAGTATATTTATTTAAATCTTATATAATATTTTTGTTTTCATCAAATTATATCAATGCAGACAATATATATAAAAAATAAAACTATTATTATTTATGATTAAATAATATTAATAATATTTAAAAAAATATATTATATAGATATAATATTAATATCTTTTATATTATTATCAATTATATATATATTGTTTTTTTATATATAATTACAAGAAAAATATAAGTAATATAATTTTTTAATCTATTTTATGTTTTTCAATTTTATAATTAAATAATATTAAATATATTAACATTTGTAATTTTTATATAAAATAAATTATTTATTACGCAATAAGAAATTAAAATATGTTAAAGTTTTTATATTAGATTACCACCTATAATAAAAACAAGAAAAAAAAATAATTAGAAAAATAATAATTAATAATATCTTTCAATTTATATAAAAAAAAATGTCTAATAAAATTGTATTTAATAAATATCCTTTCTTAAAGGAACTAGGTCTTGAAGAAAAAATGGGTGGCTGTTTCGATGGTGAAAAATGGTGTGGAAGTGGCGAACTTTTCTAATCAATAAACCCTTCAACAAACGAAGTAAATAAAAAAAAATATATACATATATATATGTAAAATATATTTTAAAAATATATAGATAGTAGCAGAAATAAAAGGAGCGTCACTATAAGAATATGAAAACTCAACTTAAAACATGTTGAAAGCTAAGAATTTGTGGATGAGTGTAAAGAAAAATAAATATAAAAAAAAAAAAAAAAAAAAAGCTTCCAATGCCACGAAAAGGTGAAATAGTTAGATAAATAGGAGATGCATTTAGAAAAAATAAATCTTAATTAGGAAAATTAGTATCTTTAGAAGTTGGAAAAATTTTATCTGAAGGAGAAGGAGAAATATAAGAAATAATCGATATTTGTGATATGTGTTGTGGTTTATCAAGAAATTTAAATGGTTAAATGATTCCATCTGAACGTCCTGATCATATAATGATGGAATAATGGAATCCTTTAGGTAAAAAATAATAAATAAATAAATATAATATAATTTAATTTATTTTATAATTTTTTATTTTTTTATTTATTTTATTTAGGTTTAATTGGTGTTATTTCAGCTTTTAATTTTCCAACAGCTGTTTTTGGTTGGAATTTTTGTGTTGCGGCAGTTTGTGGTAATCTGACTATGTGGAAATCTTCACCTACTACACCTTTATGTGGTATAGCTTGTACTAAAATTATAATTGATGTTCTCGAAAGAAATGGAATTCCAAAATCTGTACTAACCCTCTGTACCGGAGGTAGAGATATTGGTGAAAAACTAGTTGAAGACACCAGATTTGCATTAATAAGTTTTACTGGTTCCACTTAGGTAGGTAGAGAAGTTTCCTAAAAAGTTGCCAAAAGATTCGGTAAATCTATTCTTGAACTTGGAGGAAATAACTGTTTAATAGTATGTGATGATGCCAATGAAGAATTAGCTTTAAAAGCCAGTTGTTTTTCTGCAGTTGGTACTTGTGGTTAAAGATGTACATCTTTAAGAAGACTAGTATTTTTATAAACATATATAATTATTATATATAAATATAAATATAAATAGTTAATTCATTCTTCAAAATATGAAAGTATGAAAGAAAAACTAGTAAAAGCATACTCTTCAGTTGTCATTGGAGATCCTTTGGACTCTAAAACTTTATGTGGACCTTTACATTCTACAAACTAAATTTCCATATTCGAAAGAGGGCTTAAAGATATTTAAGAATAAGGAGGAAAAATATTAGTTGGGGGTAAAAAAGTTGAAGGAAATGGTAATTTCGTACAACCAACAATAGTTGAAATGACTAATGTACATGCTCCTATACTTTAACATGAATTATTTGTACCTATTCTTTATATTATGAAGTTTGATACACTAGATGAGGCTATTTAAATCAATAATTCAGTTCCTTAAGGACTCTCTTCTTCTTTATTTACTTAAAATGTTGCTAATGTTTATAAATGGACTGGTCCTTTAGGGGCAGATACTGGAATTGTTAATGTTAATATTGGACCTTCAGGGGCTGAAATCGGAGGGGCTTTTGGAGGAGAAAAAGAAACTGGAGGTGGTAGAGAAAGTGGATCAGATTCTTGGAAATAATACATGAGAAGATCTACTTGTACTATTAATTATGGAAAAACATTACCTTTAGCCTAAGGCATTAAATTTGATTTATGAGAAAGTATTATTTTTTAAAAAAATTATTTATGTTTAGCTTTTTTTTTAATAGTGAGTTTTATTAACTTTTTTGATATATATTTTTTTAAAAAATTATGTATTTCATCATATATATATATATATACAAAATTCTAATATAAAAAAAATTATATATATAAAATTAAAAAGAATAAAAATATATTTAAGTTTATCATCTTAATTATAATAATACGTATTTATTGAACAATATAATAAAATTAAAAGTATATTTTCATTAAAAAACTTTAAAAAAGCAAAAAAAGGCAAATAATAAAGTCTGTATAAAAAAGCCTAAAAAAATGCTAATATAGACCTTAATATATATATATTGCAGAAAATCATAATAAAAAAATAATCAATAATCCAAAAACATTATTATTTTTTATAGAAGTTTTTTGCCCGATAACAAATATAATAAATAAAATTATAAGCTTTGAATTTTATTCAATAATAACATTACCAGTAATGATATAAAATATAATATAAATACAAACATAATATAAGTTAATATATTATATAATACACTTGTTATCATATTTAGGAGGATTTACAATTTACTTTTTTATTAGTTAAAATATTAGAGTGAAATTTTAATTTTTTTTATACACAATCACTACCATAATTGTCTATTTAAAATATGTTTTCAAGCAAGTATACAAAAGTAATTAAATATAATTAAAAATTTAAAAAAAGACTGATAAAATACTCTATTTAGGTTTTTCATAATAAAAACACTTACTCTGCTTAAAAAATACTGGGATTTAAATTTTAGATATTTTTAGAAATAAAAAAATATATTAAATTTATGAAAATAATCATTATAATTAAAATTCAAGAAAAATACAAATTTTGTAAATTTTTAAAGATTTAGATTTAAAACTTTTAATTTATATTTAAAGTGAATAAAATATTAATAAGCATTTGTTTTATACAAATATATTAGATTTAGTTTCTTTTAAAAAAATAAACAAAATTTTCTTAAAAGAAGACCTTTTATAAAAATACATACACTATAATAATTAAACGAAAAATATTTTTTTCCTTAATAATATAAATGAATAGTTTTTTTTAAAAGGAATTCATATATTACCTATTTGAAAAAAAAAATTAACTTTTTATAAGTTCTTTAAATATTTAAAATAATAAAAAATTTATCGTTTATGGAAATTTAGAAAAATTATTAATAAAAAACTAATTAGAAAATTCATAAAATAAATTGGTTTTATTTAATTTAGTTTAAAAGAATTAAGAAGTATACTCAGAGTATTTTTGTAATGAAATTAAATAATTTCTCTAATATAAAAACTATATAGTAATGAGTACTTATATACATATTTTCTTACTTTTAGATAAAAATCTAGAGTTTGTTTAAGATTAAATATGTTTAATATTTTTTCGTTTGCATTTTAGCGATTAATTAATATTTTATAATTAACAAATTTGATAATTTTTTCGTTTGTTAAATTAATGAAAAACATCAAGTAGAAATTGTTAAAGAATTTAATCTTAATTAAGGAAGAAAGTATCTTTTAATAACTTAACTTTTAAATAAAAAATAAATTGCGATTTTTACTAAAAAAAATATTATTCATATTATTGATTTATTTAAAAAATGATAATACAATTATATATTAATGATTTCAAAATGTATATAAAATATAAATTAATCAATAAATTTAAATATAAATTATATTGATTTTATATAATTAACTTTTTCTTTATCATATATATATATATATAATATTATATATATTATTTATTTTTAGTTTTTATATTTTTAATTTTTTAATTATAAAAATTTATTTATTTTTTTTAAAAAAATGGATATTTAAAAAAGTATTTTTTTTTCAAGATTTTGTCTTTTTGGAAATGACAGAGGAGAAAATCAAATAAAACAACTTTAAACACAATTTATTGAAATATTTGGGCAGTTTTTCAAGAAATTAATAAATCCCGAAATAAAATATAATTTTAAAATAATAATAGCGACAGAAGAAAAACAACTTAAAGGAATTCTCACCTTTGTTAATTTATTTGATGATTAAAAAATGTAAGAAATAATATCAGAGTTAAAGCAAAATATAAATATAGATTTGCCAGAAATAATTATTTCACCTGATATAAATACAGTATATGATATTGATATATAAGCGATTTAGCAAGAACAATTAAGCGAAAACTTACTTTAATTATCTAATGTAAAAAAAAATGTTACTTAAGAATAATTATAAGAGTTTTTTTAAAAAAATGGGTTTCATAATGTAAAAATAGAGTCTTTAAGGGAACATAAAAACAAATTTATAAATTTTAAATTAGAATTTGAAAACGAAAAAATAGGGGAAGATTTTATGATCTAAATGTATAAATAAAAAGAATTCGAAATATTTTTTTAAAAAAACGAAATAAATATTAACTTATATACTTCGAATAATTTAAAATAATAAATAGAAACAATTAAGTAAAGATATGAAATTGAATTTTAATAAAACTTTTAAGGAAAAAATAAGAATTAAATTGAAAATATGTATTAAAATTCAGAATAAGAAAAAATTTTAGAAAACACTTAATGATACATATATAAGTTTTTATTTAATATATATAAGTTATATTCATTTTTATTTTTTATACAAATTAAAAATGTATTTTTTTTAACTATTAAAATATTATAATTTTGATTATTTTTTTAACTCTTATTAAAAACTCAAAAAAATAAAAATATTAAAAAAAATAAAAAAATGAGTGAAGAATAATTAATAAATAAAAAAGCTTAAAAAAGCGATTGTTGCAAATAAATATTTTCCATATTTTTTTCAAAAAAACAACAAATAATTCAAGAAAATTAAGAGTAAGACGAAGGAATTTCAAAAATAAATAAAAGCCACATAGATGAATAAGAAAACAAAAACCCTGAAATTGATTAAAAATTAAAAATTAAAAATATGTAAAAAAAGCGTTTAGATATTAGAAAATATATATAAGAATAAGAATATCCTTATAACTAAATATTTATACTAAAAAAAAAAAAAAATATCTTAATGGCTAAAATAACAGAATAAAACATAAATAGTAAATCAATGATTTTATCGAAAGATTTTTAAACAGAAACTTAGTTAGAAGTTTCTTTAAATTAATTTAGTTCATTAGAAAATCAATAATAACAAATTCCAAATCCGATTTTAGAATATATATAAACACGTATTTTTAAAAATAAAAAACGTCCTTTTATTATTATTGATATTTTTCCTTAAAATACTTAGAACACTATACAAGTAATTTTTATTATATTATATTATATTATATATATATATTATATTATATATATATATATATATATATATATATATTAAAAAAAATAAAAAGTTTTTAAAAAATCAAAATACTGTAATTTGTATAGAAAAAAATTCCAAAAAAGCTCTATAAATATAAAACACAATCATAGATTTAAAATTAAATAAAAACTTCGAAATACTAGTGGGCGATTTTATATATTTAAATTTTTCTTTATAAAAAAAACTCGATTTAATATTTATTTAACCTTAAATATCTTTAAATTAAGAAGGGAAGTTTATATAAAAGGAGAAACTTAATGAAATATTAAAAAAATCAAGCTAAATATCAAATAATATAATATTAGTTTTACCCAAGTATTTTAAAATTAATGATTTAGCTTACTTATTTAACACTGTATAATTTCCTAAAGAAAAGTTTTCGGTAGAAATCGAAATCGTAAGTGTAGAAAGACAAGTGAAATTTTTAATTGTTTATTTTGGTTAAATTTCTAATGTAAAAAAAAATAAAAAAAATAAAAAATAAAAAATAAAAATTAATTAAAATAAAGCTTTAATTTAATGAAGATTTTAATTTTTATCATTAATTTTTATGTTAGAATTTTTACGAATAATCCATTTAATTCTAAAATAGAATTAAATTATTATTAGTATATTTGCAAATAAAAATAAGTATAAAATAAATAGCTTACATAATAGAAGGATTAAAAGAGCAAAAAAATAAAGGAAATAATATAAATTCAGATTTTTTAGAATATATATTAGATATATATAAATAAGATAAGCATTTATATAATTTAGTCTAAAATGTTTATTAATATAATCATTATAATTTACATTCTTCGAACGAGTGTTGCAAAGAAAAAAAAGGAGATAATGAAGATATCTATTCTTATGAGTCTAGTTAGTTTTAGGCTTATTCTTATTCTAATAAATATGAAGAAATTTATACACCTAATTAGATTTTAAGCATTTCTAATTAGAAAAGCTTTCTAACAGAATCTTAAGAAATTAAAAAATAAAGCGTTTAAAAAATAAGAAAAATTTTTATTTAGAAAAATTATTGGAGAATAAGACTGAATTTTTTTTTTTAAAGAAAATAAATAAATATTAATAATATCTATGTTTGTATATAAAATTTATTAAGGTTTTTTTTTTTTTATAAAAAAAAATGCATTTATATATAAAAATAGAAAATATAGAAAAATAGTAAAATAGTTTTTTTTTTAAAAAAAAGTGCTTTTACAATAAAAAATTAAGAAAAAAAATAGTTTTTTTTTAAATTAGAAAAAATAATTATTTTTAACATATAAATAACAAAAAAACAAGAACATTTTTTAGAATAGCTTAAAAAAAAAAATTAGACTAGAATATTTTTTGTTTTTTTCTTAAAAAATTAGAAAAGGTAAATATATACAAAAAAAAATATAAAAAAGTTTAATTATATCATTTTCTAACAGAAAAAATATCAGTTGTATTAACATTATTAAAACTCAAGCTATTAATTTAATATTTCTTACTTCTAGGAGCTAAAATGATATTTTTTGTATAAGATGTAAAATTTACTTTTTAAACAAAGTTTTTTTCATTTAAAATTTAAAAAGCTTTTTATTATTTACCAACAATAGTTCCAACTTTATTTTAAACAAGACTTACTGCCCTTTAGAATTTATCATTGGGAGTATCTAGCATTTCTTCTTTTATTTTTTGATTAAACGTATTTAAATTATTTATAAAAATAACTAAATTCTCAAAGAACTTTAAAAATTCAATACATTTAAAAAAACATAAACTAAGGGCTATAGGATTAATTTATTCAGAAATTGCATTTACAATAAACTCAAATTAAAATAACATCATTCTTAATATTTATTTTTCATCTTCTAATTAAATTTTTTTTCTTTTAAAGATTTTTCAATAAACTCTTACATTTGTCCAAAATAATTTTTAATTTTTATAATTTCCTCGAATTATTCTAATAAATGGAAATTTATTTTTTTATTTTATTTCCTTCTTTAAATATTCTCCAATTATTCCAAAAAAACATAAAACTCATCATAATTAGTCATATCCATTTTTTTATTTAATAATTCTAAACCTTATAAATGCATATTTTAATTTTTGTTATCATCTTCTACTTCATCTAATACTTAGTTATATATTGAATATTTCATTATATCGTCTTATTATGTATAAAATTTTGGAATACTTTAAAAACTTTCTAACATTTAACCTAAAATATTATTCTTTTATTTTATTTCTAAAACTGATTTAGTTTCCGAATAGTCTTATTATTATATTAAATCTTAAAATTCGTGAAAATCGAACATTAAATACCCATCAAAATTATTATTATGGTATTTTTAAGCATTTTCAGATACATTTTCATCTTCATCTACTTCATCATTTTCTTCTTCTTCTTCCTCATCTTCATTTTCATTATTTTCGGGAATATTTGAAAAAATTTCAGTCATTATTTATTTTTATTTTTTTAACTTTAATATAATATATTAAAATTTAATATAAATAGTATAGTTTTTATTTTGTAAGCCTTTATTAAATTAAAAATGTGATTAAAAATATATTTTTTATATAATATTTAATAAATAATAACTTTTGTTTTGTAAATGAATATATTTATAAATTATATACTTTGAATACAAATAAATAATAAAATTAAAAAAAATTAAAAAAATTAAAGTTTAATTAAAAATTAACTATTCAAATATATAAATATAAATTAAATAAATACTTTTAAATTTGATTAAAAATATATATAATTATATATAAATATTTAAATAAATATATATTAATATAAAGTAATTACTTATTTCAAAAATAAAAAATTAGCAAAAATATAAAAAATTTGAATTCATATTAGTATTTTAATTATTTAAATTCCATTTTTATTATAAGATATCTAATAAATAAAATAAGTTAATAAAAAAAAAAATTATTGAAAAAATATATAAAAAAAAATATATTAATACATATATATATATTAAATATTCATAAATATATAAATAAATATTTATATTTATATTATTTTATACATTAATTTAATTTTATATATATATATATATAAATATATTTATATATATATGTATTTATAATTTATTTTAAAAATATTGTAATACATATTAAAATATATATCATAATATAAAATAATAAAAAATAAAATAATTCATATTTATTATTTAAAATTGCCTAATTTATTTAATTTTTTTATTTTTAATTATTTTTCTTAATAATGATACAATTAAAAAAATTTATTTTATTAAGTTATCTATAAAATTTCATTATTATCATTTTAATTAACTTTAATATATCATCATAATTAATAATATTAAAATAATATATTCATATATAAAAATAAATCTATTAAAATAATTTATTATTTATTTTTGAGCAATATATCTATTAGTTCCAATAGAATATTAATTTAGAGATTTTTATTAAATTATAGAAAAGTTAAAATGTATTAATTTATATTATATTTTTAATATAATAAAGTACATTTCTAGTTTAATATAAAAATGAATACATTAACTTTATGACATAATATTTCACCTTAATATATTTAATAAAAAATGCTTTTGTTTAACTTGTGTAAATATTTAAAATCATTTATAATTCATATATATATTTAATGGAATTTATTATATTATATTATATTATATTTAAAAATATAACTTCTATTATTATTTTAATACTATAAAAATTTTAAAAATATTCTTTATATTTTATTACGAAAGAATATTAATTTTTTTTATAGATATAGTAATATTGATTTATGATAAATTTTTAAAGCAAAATATTTACTAGTAAATATATAAAAAAATTATAATAATATTGCGTAAGATTATAAAAAAAATAAAATAATAATAATATATATATATATATATATATATATATATATATATATATATATATATATATATATATATATATATATACTATAGTATATATAGTATATATATATATATATATATATATATATAATATATATATATATATATATATATATATATATATATATATATATATATATATATATATATATATATATATATATA